TAATCACTATATCACATTTCTTACGTTAATGGATCTGGGCTGTTCACTTTTTCTAGAACTGGAAAGGAGGGGAGGATGTGACTTTTTAAAAGATTACTGATTTTTTTTTTTTTTTTTTTTTTTGTAAATGCTCAAATAGTAGATCTGTTCAAGTAAATGTGTCTCATAATTCCATCAGGTTTTGGTCAAATTTGATCAGTCAAATTAGTTCAGTAAACTATGCTGATACTGATTTGAGTGCAAGTAAAAAAGTTAAGCAATGTAGTATTCACATACAGCTTACAAAATTATATACATTTCTGTTCACTCCTACCAACACTGACAGGGCAAGCCACTAGGGTATAAACTGAGAATAAATGTCAACTCATAAAACATTTTGTATACATGGACAACAGAAAGAATGGAGGGGGGGGGAGTTTCAAAGAGCAGGCAGCAGTGTGGAACTGAAAGTACATTCCATTCATATTTTCTTCAAAGACTGATTAGATGACTGAAGCTTCTGCTGTGCAAAAATCTAATTGGAGAGCATGATTGATGACTCTTGGCTATGGATGTTTTGTGTTGGATGATACACCCAGAGGGGTGAGGGGGGAAGCAGGATCAAGGGTGTCAGTGAATTACATATCTCAGAGTTGGCCATGCCCAGGTAAATGCCGGACATAGAATGTTAACTTCAAATAAATATTTTTTAGTTTTGGGAGCATGGCTCAAGGCTCATGATTTAATTGGAATAACTGCTGGAATCCTGACAGATCCTGACTTCATAGTGGAGTTGCCGAAAAGTGGAGGAACATGATGATCTGGACTGTAATAGACTTATTTTCCAAACAGACGCATTTCATACCTTGCAGTGGGCTACCCTCAGCCCGCCAGTTAGCCAAGCTGTTCCTGAAGCACATCTACCAGCTGCATGGAGTACCACGGAGAATGATCTCAGATAGAGGGGTCCAATTCACAGCCAAATTCCTTGGGTTGTCCAAGGGACTTAGCTCGGCCTTTCATCCAAGCACCAATGGGGAGGCAGAGAAATTGAAGAGCAGTATCTGAGGTGCTACGTGAATTATCAGCAGTCCAATTGGGCGGACCTCCTGCCTTTCGCAGAGGTCATGTACAATAATGTTGTTCACAGTAACACGGGACTAACCCCTTCAAGGTAGTGAGCGGCATGGACTTCATCCCAATGCCTGAGTATCCAAGGGATGGGTGATTGAAGCTTCTGCCACACAAAAATCTAATTGGAGAGCATGACTGATGACTCTTGGCTATGGACATTTTTTGTTGAATGATACTCCCAGAGGGATGGGGTGGGGGGGAAAGCAGGATCAAGTGTGAATTACATATCTGAGAGTTGGCTACGCCCAGGTAAATGCCGGACATAGAATGTTAATTTCAAAGAAATCTTTTTTTTTTAGTTTTGGGACTGTGACTCGAGGCTCATGATTTAATTGGAGTAACTGCTGGAATCCTGACAACCCACTTCTTACTGGCTCTGAATGATGTTACCTAGTTTGGGTAATGAATCTTCTGCAAGAAAACAACCAAGTTCAGAAAGCACCAAGTTCATGTCAATGTCAATCCTGAGCTACAAAAAATCTTCTTTAACTTTCTGTTTGTTACACAGTATTGTATGCACTTATTATTCAGGGTTTCCACATCTTTTTTGAATCACTTAGTATCAGGGGTGGGATTCTTCTGGTTCTCACCTATTCGCTAGAACCTGTTGTTAACTTTCTAAGCAGTTTGGAGAACCGGTTGTTGGAAGAAATCTCTTTTCCCCCACTTTATAGGCTAATCCTGTAAGGAAGGCAGGAAACATTCTGGTGTTGTTTCTAACCTAATCTTTATTGTCCTGCTTACAGAAACTGCCTCTCTGTTTCTCCGTTACATTCTTAGCAATACAGCTAGACTTCCTGTTGCCTGAGCTTCTCTAGAAATTTTTTCCTTGCTGGTACTTTGTTGGGGCTTAACTTACTTAACGGGGAAGGATTCTTTGAAGCTTTTTACACTGCTGTTGGGAGGAAATACTCCTGTTGGAGTTCTTTCAGCCGGGATGCAATGAACAGTACTTTGAAGAAATAATTGAATAACGAAGCAGAACTGCCAGAAAGAAGCTTTTAATGACAAGGAACCAAGATGAGTGACATTCAGCAAAGCTTCTTGGCTAGCTAGAAAGATTGACCATTCAAACATGAGTTTACCTACCCTTTCTGAGTTTTGGTCTAAAACTGGTTTAATTCTGTGCTTGGTGACATTTAATCCTGTGTTTATTGATAGGATAATGTTCCCTATTCCACTTTGTTTGACTGCTTTAGTGGTTCCTGGCACTGTCCTTTTGGGGTGTACTTCTAAGAGGCAGGATGCAAGCTTGGCACTGATATTTTTACTGCCTTTCTAGGGAGCATGTGATCTTTCCTTAAACCTGGATAGTTTTCTTAGGATATCTTGTGAGGTGAGTGAGCTGCCCTAAATATCAGTCGTTAGATTAAAAAGACCTGCAAGCCAGAGTTACAAATCAGGCAGGGTGCTGGGAATTAAAATAGTTAAAATGCAATAACTATCAGCAGTCAACTCTTACTCATAAAGTGAAACCCTTTAGCAGAGAGGTCATTTAAGTTCTCCAGAAAAAGCACACCCAGGAGAAGCAATCCTTAGATCCATTTGCACCACTTAAATATGACAGTCTGATGTACACTCACACTTACGTGGTTCAGGATGTTTCTCCTGATGTCTAATCTGATCCTGCTTCCTTGTAGTTTTAACACTCTGTTCTCTGGAGCAGCAAAGTTCACTCCCAACCCAGTTCTGGAATTCTTCCTGTCCTGGGCACAATGTGCAAACATTTGGGGTTTGAAAACCGTGAGAAACCCTGACAAGGAACAGCAGCCATCTCTTCAAGAGATGAGATTAATCCACTAAAAACTACACTGACTAGATCCAGTCTACCAGGGAAGTCCTCAAACAGAGCATTTAAGGTGGGCAGATCACCATTCCTCTTCTTTTACCATTAGACTTTGTGTCTTGCTGCTGTCAAAGCCTCCTCCTCCTTTAAATGATTCTCCCCCTCCAAATTTCTGCAGCCTGTACAGGTAGTCCTCATTTAGTGATGGTTTGAAGTTACAAAGCAACTTCAAAAAAAGTTGACCCAAGACCAATTTCTACAGTTATGACCGTTGCAAGCATCCTCATGGTCACGTGATGCTTGACAATTGATTCATGTTTGTGACGGTTGCAGTATCCTGGATCCCATTTTACAACCTTCTCATAAGCAAAGTCAATCGAGGATGCCAGATTCACTTAACAAACCATGTTACTAATGTAAGAGTTGCAGGGATTGGCTTAACAAATCGTAAAATGGGTCAAAACTCACTTAACAAATTTCTCAACATAACTTTTGGGCTCAATTGTGGTCATAATTCGAGGACTACCTGCAGTACCTAGAAGTACACATCCTCAACTTTTAAGCAGAAGGATGAAAATCGGTGCAGGCTCTTTTTCTTAAGGTGATACAAAATAGCAGAGCTGGAAGAGACCTTCCAACTTGAGGCTCTTCTAAGTCCAACCGATCGCTCCCTTCTTACTTTGAGCGAGAGCCACAAAAGTTCATTCGTTCCCAGATAAAACAGACTCGGGCTCCAGCCAGCTCCCTTGCTCGGACAAAAGTGGGGGGAAAGCTTCGCCAGCAGCCAACTAACCACTACCAGTTCCCTTTCATTTACAATCAGGAGAAACGGTATGGAAATCGCAACCTGTTTCCTACTGTAATAAAAACAACCAAAAAAACCAGAAACAGCGCTCCCGGGGCCCCTTCGCCTTTTCACGCTCGGGGTTCTTTTTAAATGGAGCCCTAACGGGGAAGCGCGTGCTCCCGTCTGGGACGCGGTCTCAGCTCGGCAAAAGCCCGAAAGGGGTGTGGTAGTTGCGTGTTGCGGAAAGAGCTTTTTCCTCATCTCTTTCGCCCAAAGAAAAAGCGGGAAAGATGGGCGCGGGGAGGAAAACGCTGCTCTCCCGAGAGCTTTTGTTCGGCCGTCGGTTTCGGTCTTCGGGGAAAGCAAAGGCCGGGGGGGGGGGGCCGAGGTGAGGGCGGCGTCTTCTGAAATAACTGGGCGTTGCTGGGCGAGTTGTCGAGTCATGCGGCTCTCTTCCTCCCCACCCGGCCCCCGGCCAAGATTCCGAAGGAAGTGACAAGCGGTGGGGACAGAGACGTCACAGGTGGTTTTTAGTTTTTATATTTTTATATTTATATATATAACATTTATATATAAATTTGAAATAGCTAATATCTCTCTCCATATAAATGTATATAACATTATACACACACACACACACACATATATATATATCAATATATATGTCGATATATATATATTGATTGCTTATTGTACCCTATGACTATTATTAAGTGTTATACCTTATGATTCTCAACTCTTGACGAATGTATCTTTTCTTTTATGTATTCTGGGAGTATTTGCACCAAGACAAATTCCTTGGCCAATAAAGAATTCTATTATTTATATATCTATATATCTGTATCTATATATCTATCTCTATCTCTATCATCTATCTATCTATCTATCTATCTATCTATCATCTATCATCTATCTATCTATATCAATATATCTATATATATATATATATATGGTATTCAGCTTTGTTCGGATATTTTCCCACGTCATTATAGTTGTGCTTTTAAAGTTGTAGCTGAAGATAGATAGATAGATAGATAGATAGATAGATAGATAGATAGATAGATAGATAGATAGATAGATAGATAGATTATAATATAAATATATATAGATATATATAGATATATATATTCAGCTAATGTCTCTCTCTCTATATAAACGAATATAACATTAACAATATATACATATACATACACACACACACACACACACACACACATTAAATTAATATATTTTTAAAAATTAAAATTTATTTTGAAGGAGCCGCCCCGTAGGTGGAGTCTCGCTTTCCCTTCTCCTCCCTCCCTCCCCGCCCCCCGTCGGTTGATTTTCTTCGCTGGGTCGAAGAAGCGGCGACGAGCCGGCTGGCGCTCCACTTCTTCGGAACATCGATGTTAGCGGCGGGTGAGCCCGAGGCACGCGTGGGTTTTGTTGCTGTGAGTTGCAGGGAACCTTCCCCTTTGCATGCCTAATATTTGTTTCGGGGGTTTCCCTCTCCTCCCTTCCCCGACACACACACACACACAAAAACACACCCCTTCGCCCCCTCTTCCCTCGGCTTGGGATGTCGCCTTTGAAAAGCACGGAAGTGTCTAGTTGTTTGAGAGTGAAGGGTAGAGAGGTGGGGGAGGGGAGAAAGATGAGGTGCGGGGGTCGGGAGGAGGACCTTGATTTTTTTGGGTCGGGGGGAAGGACGTGGTCGTGATTTTCGGTTTTCCTCTCCCCCCCTCCCCCAATAGAGAAGCCCTTCGATTCCGGTTTTGCAAAAACAAAACAAACAAAAAACCCCTCTCTTTGTGAGGAAAGGGAGTCGAAGCCGAAGGAGTAGTGTCCGGGGTACCTGCTGCTTTTCTCTCTCTCTCTCTCTCTCTCTCTCTCGGGTCGTGCAACAGATTTCTCCCCCGTCACCGTTTCCATGGACACCGCCGAAAAGAAAAAGAGTTGTTGTTTTTTTGGGGGGGGGTTGTAAGAAACCTCATACGGCCCTTAAGCGAGGCCCGTGGGGTATTGGGATGCATATAATTTGTGCAAGGTTTCCAGCGTGTTTCGCGCGTCGCTTCCTTTCTGGTCTGTTTCCCCAAGCACAAGGAGAAGGTGGGGGGAGGGGAGGGGTTGCCTAGGAAACAGACGTTTGTGACATTCTGGGTCGCAGATGCTCTCCTGAATATGCTTCACTTTCCGAGGAGGACACGGAGGTTGCCTTAAGTAATGAGTGGTCGCTAAGGAAGGTATGAGGATATTAGCGAAGGTGCGGAGAAATTAAGTGCCCTGACTGCTAGTTTAACTATCAGAAGTTGTGCCTTGATGAAGAGGTTTGTGTCTCTTGCCTCTTACTTTAAGGCTGCTGGCAGATGCTTGGATGAAATTCCACATCTATTCGCTCAGATGTTGCAACTGGGACATTTGGCTTCCTAGGTGTGCAAAAACATTTGATTCTTCTACAGGAAGAAATTAATGGATGGAAGAGCTGTGCCCTCTTCTAACGCTCTTTTTTTTTTTAAGTATGTTTCTGCTTGCAGGTGGAATCTGCCCCTTGTGATTCAAGAAAGCGTCTGTAGGAAAAGCTGTATTTGCTCCTCAGTTTTGGAAAATGCTTTTGATCAGAAACACTTAACTCACGCAAGCAGGAAACAGCTACCTGCACTGGGGTGCAGATGAAGGAAAGCAATTACCCTGGATTCGTATTGTGCTTTGCAGCATACTGTGCATCGATGTGCAAAGTGTATTCTTGGAGGTCTTTCTTGGAATCAGTTACCTAGGTGGTTTGTCTGGATTGGACATTCCGGATTCTGATGTAAACCTAACAAGAATAACAAATAGCTGAATGTAATGCATGTTGCATAGTGATGGTGTTGAAATATGAATGCAATAGGGTGTAATTACTTTGAATGTGTTATATTGAAAAATAGAATGGAAACTAAATAGATAATAAGAGTAGCTTTCTCAATAGGCTTTACTCTTATAAGATGTTATAATATCACTAAATTCCTGTGGTATGCTTCATACCCTACTGACAACTAGATATTTAAATAACACTCTTCGGATGTACTATTCCTATGCACTAGTGGATAGTTAAACGTAACGGATATGTGATTGTTTGAGTCTTCTGAACTAAGTGACTCTGTTTCACTTATAAATCTGAAATGTTTGAGCAACTTTTCTTAAACCAGATAGCTTTGAGATGTGCATACTTAAATTTTCAGAGTTTTCAGCAATAATTCTAGAAGTTCAGATCCACTCATCTGGAGATAGCTTTCTCCAGCCTGGACTATCTTGCTTGCAAAGGCAAAAGTAGCTAAATTATCAGAGGACTTTTTCATTTGCGAGTCTCTCTTTCCCTCTCTCTTTGGGTATAGGTAATAGAATAGAATAGAGTCAAGAATCATAAGGTACAACACTTAATAATAGTCATAGGGTACAATAAGCAATCGAGTCATACTACGAAACAGTCAATGTAAATCGTAAGGATACAAGCAACAAGTTACAGCCATACAGTCAGAAGTGGAAGGGGGGGTGATAAGGAGTGATGAGAAGATTAGTAGTAGTAATGCAGACTTTGTAAATAGTTGGACAGTGTTGAGGGAATTATTTGTTTAGCAGAATGATGGCGTTCGGGAAATTTTTTTCCTTGTGTCTAGTTGTTCTGGTGTGCAGTGCTCTATAGTGTCCTTTCCTTCTTGCTAAGATAATTCTTGCTGAAAGACTTCTATATATATATACAACGATTAAAGCCCATGAACTTGAAGGGTTTTCACTTCTAATTCTTTGAGTTTGAGGATTCAAAAGATTTGCTTATCTCCTTGGAGCCAAATTTTGGAGGAACAAGGCCATTTATATTCCAATAAGGCACTGAACTAATGGGATATTGATTTTCTTATCCTATGTAAGGTTAACCCCTCCTATGATGACCAATGTGCATGAAGCCTAAAGTGCAGTTATGCTCATGTAAATAATTTGCGAAGCTTTTAGATGCTTTTAGGTTAGGACTCAAATGCCTTAAGTTGCCCTTTAGGATTGAGAAGTTCGGTTATTGATTTTTAATTTTTAACAATGGATGAAAGCAACTCTGAAACAACTGTTTCTATGACCCTCAAGCACCAGCCCTCCAGAACATCCTGACCTGTGAGTGACTTAATTGTATAAGGGTAGCTTCTAAAAATGTTTGTCTACTGCTAATCCGGAAGAAACTGAAGTTCAGGTCTGATTAGTATTTAAATGAAAGACTATCAGGAAACCCAAGGCTCTTAAGTCTAGGCTGCGAAGTCAAATATTTCAGAAGTAGTATTGTTACCAAGAAAATAACAATGCCCACCTTTGTGTATTGTCATCTAGGAACGAATTATACTTGAACGACATTTTTGCCCCCCCCCTTCCTTCCACCATTAAGAAATACTGAGTTTGAATGTTGACTTATGGCTTCTCTTTGCTTTGCATTCTTTCCTTCCTTCTTTTATCAGATTTTAGACTTTGACTTTCATTGTTTGTGTTCTGGTGGTGAATAAATAATTAGTGACATCTAAGAAATGAGATGATAAATGTAGTATTCATTTATACGCAGAAGTCTAAATGATGACACTGTAGCCTTTGCGAAAGGAGGTTAGTTCTTAGTTTGAGAGGTGGGAAGATTCAAATCAGCTGAAAAAAAATAGTAAAAAAAATTAGGAAAGAACATATTAGTAGAAAACTACTGTCTAACCTAGCATATAGAAATGCTTTCCTTTCTGCTACAAACATGCATAAAGCAGTCTCTTTTGTACTTTGTTGTTAAAAGCAGTTCATCCTGAGTTATGGACAAAACAGCACTACAGTGCAAACTAACTCTCAGTAGTTTATGGAAGAGTTTTACTGTGCCTAACTGATATGGAGAGAGTGTGTAGTATTATATTTATAGGTTTTTTTTGACATTCAATGCAGACTGATATTAACATCAGAGGGGAAAAGAGTGCATTTATACAATTTCATGTATGCATCCAAAGAGGTAGCATAATCTACTGACCCAAATCATTTCTTTTGTCAATTAGATTCCAAATTATACTCTGTCCATTCTACTTACAATGCTTTAAAAAAGTCTCTCTGCATCATACAGATACCCAATTTCTATTTCCATTTTAGCTTCCTATGTCTGACGGAGATATATTTAACCTGCAGCATAGTAGGATATACTTTGATTAGACCATACTTTTGGTTAATTTGGAGTGTTTTAGTGCATGCTAATTGGCATCTCATGGGATGATTTTGAAATAATGAGCGTCACTGCAATATACTACCAATGGGGAAATCTAATATGCTCTTTTTGTGAGCAGATTTACGTTTCACAACTTCCAGAATTTATCTAGGTGTGGCTTGGTGTTCTCTGTGCTTTGTTGCTTGCTTGCAGACATTTAAGACTCCGCAGTTGAACCCTGAGCTACATACCTTCTCTTCTGTTGTTATTATCTAGATGTCTTTATTCTCACCTACTACTTCCTTGCAAAATCCTAAAATTAGGATTAAATAGAATTGCGCTCATTTTCTTTGTTATACTGATTCCTAAAGGTGTGTTCTTGTGCTTCATAAGGATGTGCTTCATCAGATTTGAGGGTTAGGAACTACTTTTAGACCTTGTGAGTTTATGGGATCTGTACTTTTAAAGGTATAAATTAGATAAGCTAATATTAAATGGGCTTCAAATAAAAATCAGGCACAAATGTGTCATAGAGAAAAACCTGGTTTGTCAGTATCATGCTTGAATAGGAAACAATGTTATGATATGGCGGCACTTTTAGACGATGATAAACCTATCTATACTAAACGTTGAAAGAATAATGGTAAACATATAATTTTCTCATATTTCTGATTTAATCATGGAGGATGTGTGTCAGTTAAATTGGTATTTAACTTAATGCAATTGAGAAATGTTTTGCAATAATTATTTTAAAACCAAGTTAGTTTATTACAGAAATGATGATTTCTTCTGTTTTCAATGTTTATCTTTCTCCCAAGCAGGCAAAAATTAAATGATCCTATCATTCTCAGAATTCAGTAGTTTATATCTGTGTTTCAAATCACATCAACAGAATAAATAGTACTATAAAACCTTAGTTTAATGAACTATTGGGAGAATGAGTATCCTTTAATTCTCAACGGCAGCTAATTTTGAAATCACTTCTTTTGTATTACAAAATTATTGAAACTGATGTGAACAATGTCGAAATATCAGTTATATAATTATGCAAATATTGATTAAATGTAATATCTGGATTGCTTTAACAGTGGACGTTCGTTGTTCGAGTAAAATCTAAACAAAAATGTTTTCTAGTGCATCTGAAGTCTGCTGATTGGAAGACCCAGACAATTGTAAAATCAGTGTATAAATGAATCATTATTGTTTGAATTATACTGTTCAATTATATAACCTAGGTGTACTTTTATGGACAAACCAACATTTTTTTTTATA